GGAGTTATGATTGTGAGATACAAATTACATAGGATAGAATTTTAAATCATCCGTGGTGAGATTAACAACCCAAGTAAAATATATAAAGTAACTATATATACACAGTATATTTAATTCCCAGTTGAGTGTAATGAAGGGAGAATAAGCAACTCATTAGCTACCATTTCAATGTGAGCGAGATTTTGGGTGAGGTGGGGTGGAGTGGAGTGGAGTGGGGTGGGGAGTGGAGGGGGCAAGATTGATATAATCTACTAAGGATCTCTTCAACACTTATGTCTACGCCATCCCTCATCGAATTCTAGAAGTACAGGAATATTATGAAACACCACTAAAAAGGGAAATTTGGATTTTTTGAGCAATTATTAGACTGAGACATGTATAATTCAAATTTGGGACATGCAATCACAAATACATTTCCACCGGGTAATCTAGATGGCATTGAATATTCCTTTCTAGGTCTGCTGTTACCTTGAAAGGAGACTGATAGATTTTAAAAATACAAAGAGGAAGATGAAGTGAAAATTATTCAGTTCATATATATATATTGCTAATGATCAACTGATTTGCTTTATATTACAAAAGGATTTCAATCATATTTCAATCACCAACTATTCTACCAACTACACTTACCTTGTGACAGATTGACCATGCTTTGATAAGCAACAAAAAGATGACCATACATAAGCTAATATAATACTTGCACTATTACAAAGTGAAGTGACAACAAAAGTGACACATGACTATCAACACTCCTCCTTGACACTTTTGTTGGAAACACCAAGGCATTTCCTTAGTGTTTCAAACCTTTCTTTGGACAAACTCTTGGTCAGAATATCAGCAAGTTCAAGTTCAGATTTGCAGTGCATCATTTTTACTTCAAGGTTCTCTTGAGCCTCTGTAATAGCATGATACTTTATTTTGATGTGTTTTGTCCTTCCATGGAAAACCGGATTTTTAACCATTGCAACTGCTGATTGATTGTCCCAAAAAATCACAGTAGCTTCAGCTTGTTTACAGTCCAAATCCTCAAGAACTTTTCTTAACCAGACAGCCTAATTTACAGCCTCAGATGCAGCTACATATTTTGCCTCTGCTGTAGATTGAGCCATAGTTTTTTGTTTGATGGAGTTCTAGCAAATTGGACTTGATCCTAGGTAGAATACATACCCTGAGGTACTCTTCATATCATCATATGATCTAGCCCCGTCACTATCGGTATAACCTGACAAAACACAATTCTCAGCACTCTTAAACCAAATTCCAAATTCTTTTGTTCGTCTAATATATCTGAGAACCCGTTTGGTAGCCTGGATGTGTAACTCAGTTGGCCCTTGTCTGAATCTAGAGAGCATGTTAGCTGCAAATATAAGGTCTGGTCTTGTGAGGGTTAAATATAAAAGACACCCTACCAGGCTCCTATACACTTTTCATCAATCGTCTTGCTGCCATCTTCTTTCATCAGCTTCAGGTTTTGGATTAAGGGTGTGCTTGCTGGTTTACAATTTTCCATGCTGAACTTCTTCAGAATTTCTTCAGCATATTTCACTTGACTTACAAAAATTTCATCACTTGTTTGTTTTATTTCCATTCCAAGGAAGTAACTCATCATTCCCAAATCTGTCATCTCAAAAGCCCCTTTCATTTCTTGCTTCAACCTGTCAACTGAGCTTTGATTCCTTCCAATTACTAGCAAATCATCAACATATAGGGAAATAACAATAACATCTTCCTCCATTAGCTTGACATAGAGTGTTTGCTCATTTATGCTCTTGATAAAACCAAGGCAGCAAAGATGTTCATCCATTCAGCTGTACCAGGCCCTTGGTGCCTGTTTCAACCTATACAAACGTTTCTTCAATATATAAATTTTCCCTTCATTTCCAGCAGCAATAAAAACATCTGGTTGTTCAATATATATCTCTTCATCTAGCCATCCATTTAAGAAAGCTGATTTAACATCCAAATGATGAATGCTCTAGCCTCTTTGTGCAGCTATAGCCAGAAGGAGTCTGATTGTTTCATATCTTGCTACTGGTGCAAAGGTATCAGTGTATTCAACACCATACTGCTGAGCATAACCCTTAACAACTAGCCTTGCTTTGAACTTGTTAACTGAACCATCCGAGTTTAATTTGGTCTTGAACACCCACTTAACACCTATTACGTTTTTGTGCTTTAGCTTGTCAACCAACAGCCAAGTCTCATTCTTCTCAATCATTCCTATTTCATCCTTCCTTGCAGCTAACCAATTAGAAGAATTTATAGCCTTACTGAAGTTTGAAGGTTCAAGCTTGGCTGCATTACATCTTGCATAAATATCAGCAAGAGGTCTGGTTCTCAGCACCTCATTTTCTGAGTCAGATTCAGCACCTAGTTCAGTTACTGGTTTGGCCTCTAGTTCAACTTTTGGTTCAATTTCTGGTTCTACTTCAATTTGTTCAACATCATTGATAAGAATATCATCATTTTCCTGAGTCACATGCATTGGAGCTTGAGGTTTATCAACCTTACTTTCTTTCCAATTCCAGGATAAACTTTCATCAACTTTGATGTCTCTGCTGGATAACACTTTCCTGGTTTGTGGATTGAATACCCTGCACCCTTTAGCATTATCCAATAACCAACCAAGATACCTACTTTAGCCTTAGGACTCAATTTATCCCTCTTGACACTAGGTATATGAGTATAGCAAATGCTCCCAAATACCTTCAAGTGATTGACATTCGGTTTGACTCCATTCCAGCCTTCATAGGGAGTCAATTTCTTTAGTGCTTTTGTTGGCAACCTATTCAGCAAATACACTACTGTGTTTAATGCCTCTACCCAGAATTCATTAGGTATGTTTTTCTCAAGCATCAAGCACCTAGCCATCTCCATTACGGTTCTATTATTTCTTTCACATACTCCATTCTGTTGGGGAGAATAAGGGATGGTCAACTGGTGCTTGATCCCTACTTCTTCACAAAATCTGTCAAATTGCTCACACTTATATTCAGTCCCATTATCAATTCTTATTGCCTTTATCTTGCTATCACATTCATTTTCCACCTACTTTTTGAATTTCTGGAATACAGTGGCTACATCAAACTTTATTTTCAGAAAGAACATCCAAGTCATCCTAGTTAAATCATCATTAAGGAGGACAAAGTGTATCGACTACCATTAGGTGTTTGAGTTCTCATTAGACCACACACATCTGAGTGGACTAATTCCAATTTAATTGAAGCTCTTCTGGTTTGGTTTTTAGGAAAGGGCATCCTGGTAAGCTTTCCCAATTGACATACTTCACAAACACAACCTTCATCACCTACTGATGTACCCCCTGAGCCGACGCATATGAGTTCTCCACCATTGAAGACACACACAGATGGTACTCAGTCAGCGCAGGGATCAGGTACCGGGACAGTTCCTCAAACCACTCTTGCACAGGGGTTGTTGGCTGAGATCAGCTCAGAGCGACATGGTGTCAAGCATATGCTGATTGATCACTTTAAGAAGGACCATGGAATGAAAGTTGGATCTACCATGAGATTTGCTATTGAGGACTTGGTTTTTAAGCTCTTTGGAGAGGGACCTTCTGTGAGTAAGACTCCTACGCATACACCTTCACCTAGTCCTTCTATCACAGCTCCTACACACAATAAGGTGAAAGAACATATACAGAGAGACATGGATGGCATGGGCCTTGGAAACTGCACGCAAAATGCAGAGGACGATGTCCCTACAGCAAGCAGGTCAATCTCCCACGATTCAGATGTCGTAGCACAGAACACCATGAGATTAGACGCACCTATGACTAGTACAATGAGATCAGATGCACCCGCTTTTCGCCCGACATTCAGTGTACCACCATCTGAACAGTACTTATCACCAAAGCAGGCTCCTACACGCAGGCGAGACCCCTCTCCAACGAGCGAGCCAGACATCGCAGACTACTATGATCCGAAAATGTTTCAAACCAGACGCATGACTCGATCAATGTCTATGTACTACCACCCGAAGATTTACCCTCGGGAATACCCTTGAGTACCTTTCATTAGTTTTTATTCGTGTCTTGTTTACTGTGATTGCATTTTATCTTCAAATATTTGTTACAATTTACATTTGCTGGAGGTCAGGTCCATGCCCCCCTCCTCTATTTGTTTACCCGCTTTTCATTATATAAAATAAACCACACTAGTGGTATTTGCTTAAAAAAAAAAAATATTAGGCAGACTTTCAACCAATTTCTGTAGGTTTAATTGTTTAAGTGAAGTGTAATTAACATGTCCATAACGTTTATGCCACAGTGTAGATTCTATTTCAGTGTTGGTGTATGCAAGAGTTGTCATAATATTCCAATCTAGAGGGAAGTTTCTTTGCTTCATTTGTACTGTCAGTACCTCATTCCCAGTAGGATCAAATATAGTGCAGCCACGACCCACACTTATCAAATCTTGATCAATGTCAGGTACATATAAAACATCAGAAACATGCTTGATACCTGATGGAGTGTGTACAGCAATCACTCCAATCCCCTCAACTTTTACATGTTCTCCATTGCCCACTTTCACTCTTGATTTGTATGCACGATTTAATTCAACAAAAATGCTTGAATCAGAAACCATATGATGTGTGCATCCACTGTCCAATAGCCATGTTTTATCATTGCTGCAGGCTAGGAAATTGTTGACTATAAAAAGGTGCTACTCCTGAGGTTGAAGGTGGTCATCTGCCAACTAAGCTTGCTGCTTTTCCTGCCTTTCTTTTTTAGTCTTGCACACTTTTTGCATATGACCAAATTGCTTACAATTTCGACATTGGACTCCTGGCCTATACCAGCACCACTTAGGTGAGTGACCTGACTTCTTGCAATGGAGACATGGTGGATATGTACTAGTCTTCTCAGCAGACTTACTGCCTTCTCCCTTTTTTCTTTCTAGTCCTGGTTTCTTCACCCCAGAGCTTGCTGGTGCTTTTTTCTTCTCCTTAGCAAACAAAGCCCCTTCAACATGCTCTTCTTACCCTAACAGCCTTCTTTGTTCAGTGGCATGAAGTGCATTAACTAGCTCAGACAAGGTGATGGTAGAAAGATCTCTTGAATACTCAAGTAATGATATCTTAGCCTCAAACTTTTCTGGTAGGCTTATCAAGACCTTTTCAACAATTATTCTATCTGGTAAATCATCCTCCAACAACCTGATTTTGTTAACAACCTTCATCAGCCGATCATAAAATTCTTTCACAGTTTCTGCCTCCTTCATCTTCAAACTTTCATATTCTCTCCTCAAGTTTAGAACTTGCATTTGTCTAGTCCTAGCATTTTCCCTAAACTCCTCTTGTAGCTTGTCCCAAGCTTCCTTAGCCGTTTCACAGGTGATTATCCTAGTGAAAATTTCATCAGACACGGCAAATTGAATGCAGGAGAGTGCCTTGAACTTTTTTGCTGCTTCCTCACTATGTTGCTTGAGTTGAGCTATGGTTGGATTGGCTCTAAGTGGAGGTGGTTCCATCCCTGTCTCAGTGATTTCCCACAGGTCGTAGGCTTTGAGATAGGCCTTCATTTTTGCAGCCCAAAAATCATAGTTTTCTCTAGTGAAAATAGATGGTAATGGTGCTGAAAAACCGGTTGAAGCCATCCTTCCTAGTTTGAATAATCACTCGACTGAATATATGGTTTTGTTGGAGGTTACCTTACTCGTTCTCTCCTTTCCTACTAGATTTTGCTTCTAAGATCTCTAGGAGCTATGATACCACTGACAGATTTTAAAAATACAAAGAGGAAAATGAAGTGAAAATTATTCAGTTCATATATATATTTTGCTAATGATCGACTGATTTACTATAAATTGCAAAAGGATTTCAATCACATTTCAATCACCAACTATTCTACCAACTACCCTTACCTTGTGGCAGATTGACCATGCTTTGATAAGCAACAAAAAGATGACCATACAGAAGCTAATATAATACTTGCGCTATTACAAAGTGAAGTGACAACAAAAGTGACACATGACTATCAATAGAGACACCATGGCTGACAATTTTCATGTAAGAATTTTGATTCAAAGAGAATTTGAATCGCTGGAGAACTGTTACTTTGCCGCTTAGAGCATTGACGCCTTGGGAAGCACATACTGATGGTTGTCTCAAACCTATAAAAGGCGATAACAATTTTTCTGCAGTGGTCTCCTAAAAATGTTAGTACTTATATGAGTACTTTTTTTGGACTTGTAAAAGGATATGGATATTCATTTCTTACATCTAAACAACTAGAAAATGAAAGATGCTTAAATTAGGGGTGGACCCAGATCTTCTTCTACCTTGTTATCGTTGCATCTCTTGAGAATAAGTAGCTGACTCGCAAGTGAAAAATCTGCCATAACAACAAGAAAAATGTAAATCACTTGCAAAGCATAAGTTAAATGATGAAAAATGGCGATATGAAAGTCAAAGGTGAACCTAGGGAACCAGAGATGGGATAAAAAGAGATGGGAAATATAGAACTCAGCGAGCTGTTCATCTGAACCAATTAATAAGAGTTTTACCCTTCTTACCATTTGTCATGAGAATTGATTGTTCAAGATCATTCACAACAAAACTTTAGAACAAATTAACATGAAAAAGTTGGAGATCTAGTATTCGCCTAAAAATGCATATTTAGTAGTGCAGAAATAAGGATAATAACGAACTATTAGAACATCATGTTGTTCATTGTTTCATGTATCCACCTTCGAATATTAACAAGGAGGGATAGATCGACAGAAGTGGATGTAATGCATAGGATTTAGTGAGGGTGGATGTGTTGGGAATTTACTTAAACATGTGCAGCGAAATTTAACAAATTTCAATTCCCATTTAGGATTCAACTTTGTATTTAGATAAAAACTGTGATAAGAAATATACCTTTTCTTTTAATTTGCAAACTCCTTCGCGTTATTCCTTTCCAGTAGCTTGAATCTGCCTCCCACAGCTGTCCAATTGTCTAGCCTCCAATGAAATCTACACAGAGAATAGACTGCAACTGCTAGGATTTTCCTCTTGTGCCAGCAAGAATAATGAAAAAATCACTTGGACCTCAAACCCTAGTCATGTATTTATATAAACCCAAACGGGCTCGGCCCGGTCCGGTCCATTGTTTAATTAATCCATTTAATTAAACCCGGTCCGTGAATTAATCAATCCAATTAATTAATTCGGGAATATAAATAACAAATTCAATTAATTAATTTATCCAACGATTGTTAAATTAATCAATTGGGAATTTGCAACCTATCAATTCTCTTTTGTGTGCAACCCATTAGGTTCCCGACCACGATGCCAAACGACGTGAAATATTATTTTGATCTAATCAAAACTGATAAATTAAACACTCCTTTAATTTATCACAGACTCACACTCGTCGTCCCAGATTGACATCTAGCAATGTATCAGGGCAACACATGTGACGGAAAATGTCACGTGGTATGACAAAACCAAAACTGTTCGTTTACCATGAAATTATAATCCATTTGTTAATATGATCCGATCAAGTATGAGATATGAAAGTGTGTCAATCTCGATTATTGATCATATCTTTCATTCTTCTATTACGTCAGTATGAGTCGAAAACTCTTTTCAACTTATATGTACACCTTCATCAAGGATTTCGTTATTGACTTAATTGAATGAAATGCAGATCACAATCTCTTACTATCTAAGAGTGACGAATCCTCTATTGATCATTCACAACCTTCATATAGTTCTTGACATACCCGAACGATGTCGTATTAGCAGCCCTTAGTAGAGCAACATCCAACACCGTCAAAATATGACTGTCCTCATATAAGGTACTATGATGACCTCAAGTTGTAGGACCAATTTCATTACCGAACATTAGAGATTAACTATTGACACTCAGATAGTTATCCATGTGGAATCTCTTAGCGGGTCTCCAATATTTTGTTCTATAACAAAACATTCACGTGTTCATTTAAGTGTCACCACACTTTAGCTCGTGAGATCAGCTACTTACTTCACAAGTAAGAAATGCTACACGTGATGGTCTAACTGTATTAACGATATCTGTATCTCATTATTACTTACGACCACGACTTATTCAAGATCCAATTATATGTAATTTGTATCTCACAATCACAACTCCTTGTGATTAACAGATCACTTAAAATTGGATCTTCGAATTCTATTATTTAATATTATTTATCACAAAATTAATTTAAATAAATAATAGATCTCGCCAATATCAAATGCATTAAACATATTAAAAGTATTTACAACCTAATTCGATTGGATCTAGGGCATAATGTTCACGAAATAATTCTTTCGATTTAAAATTACCGCAAGTGTACGATTCGTAACAAGTAATAAAGTCGATTTTTAAAAGTCCGAATATCGTCCCTCAGCGATTGAGTAGTTCAATTCGATATAATCTAGCCTTAACCGAATCTAATTGAGTGAAAATATAGTCTAAATGCAAAAAGCCCTAATTTCAATTGAAAACCCTAATTTCGAAATTTCTCTAATTAAACGACTTAAACACTCAAGTAAATGAAATTAAGCAAGTTTAAAAGCTAATTTATTAAAATGAATCAAACTAAAGTCACTAGGATCACGAATCCCCAATTGAAGTTATAAAAACCCTAATTTCATAAAATTAATGATTCGATGAAAATTTGCCAATTCAATGTTCCTAATTCTATCCAATATACTCCCTCGATATATATTAGACCTATTCTTGCAGTACACTAGCCTATATCTATATGGATGATGCAAACATACAAGAATGCATGTAGTTTTGTGAACAATTTAAGAATTGCATAAAGCATAGGGGTATATCTCTATCCCCTATTGGACCCTATGTTAATTTACACCTTATCAAATCTATTCCACTTCTCTCGAATGTAAGAAATAAGTCATCAACATTCACACAATCATTGGCCACTAACTGCGGAAGAAAATTAATGCATGTAAATCAATCAAATTATCCAAACGAGTCTTTATATTAAATTCATGAAATATAGAATTAAAATAACAAACAACGGTTCATCAATCACCTAGTAATTGAAAACCTAGCCTAGAAGATTTATAATTATAGAAAAAATGAAATTAATAAATAGAAAGAATAATACCCGTTTGAAAGTTCTTGAAATCTGAAATATTGAATAAAACCTTGAAAACCCCTTTGAATCCTTGTGAAATCGGCTTCAAGTTCGTGTTCCTTGCCTCCAAAAGTTGTATTCTTCTTCTCCCTGGACGTTCTGCCCTACTTTTGATGAATTTTGGCTTTTATATCATGTTCTCATGGAGCCCCGAAAGAGTTCTAATTAAAAACGGAAGTTTAGATTTTTTTTTGAAAATAAGATCATGCGGCCGCATGGTGTTAAACCATGCGGCCGCATGGTTCAATTTTTTTGCTCAATTAAAACCCTGCAACACCATGTACGGCTGCATGGTATTGTTTCATGCGGCCGCAAGGTTGTAAAGTTACAACCTTGTCATTTTGGTCCCTAAACTCCGTTTTCTCTTTTCTTGATCTCTTTTCTTTCTTTCCTTTGTTCCATTATCAAATATTGACTCCTAATTGATGTTTGGGTCAATCAATTCCTTAATCATTTGCTCGGCTCATCTTTTGATTAATTACAATTTAGTCCTTCATCTTTCACTTTTCTTCAATTCAGTCCAATGTTACTTCTTTCTTCCTCCAATCGTCTTGTATCATCCTCGATCTCATACTTGGTATATTTTCATTCTAATTCTGCACTTTAGCTCAACTTTCCAATATTTGCACCTTTGGTCCCCGAACTATCGCTTTGTTCTGTTTTGGTCCTTTTTCGGCTCTTTTCTTCTAAATTCCATCTTTTCCATAGAAACACCTACATTGCATGAATTTAACAAGATTAAGTCACAATTCAACTACTTTGTCCATGTTTAAGTCATGTTTGTGAGCTAAATAAGTGTGTAAAAACACACTTATCACATAACACTTACAAACTCCCACTTGCACTAGATCCAATCACTCAAGTATCTAATACCATAAGCATCCACATGACGATCATGTTTCTGTTGTGACAACAAATTTGTCAGTGGATCTGCAATATTATCGTCTGTGGAAACTCGCTCTATCATTAAGTCATTTCTTTGTATAATCTCCCTGATGAGATGGTATCGCCTTAGCACATATTTGGATCGTTGACGAGACCTCGGTTCCTTCGCTTGCGTGATGGCTCCATTGTTATCACAATACAAAGGTATGGGATCAACAATGCTAGGAACGACTCCAAGTTTATTAATGAACTTCTTGATCCACACAGCTTCCTTTGCTGCTTCAGAAGCAGCTATGTACTCGGCTTCTGTTGTTGAATTAGCGGTTGTCTCCCATTTGAAACTTTTCCAACTAACCGCTCCATTATTGAGAGTAAACATATATCCTGACTGAGACTTGCTATCATCTTTGTCAGTTTGAAAACTAGCATCAGTATACCCATGAATTTTCAGTTCATTTCCTCCATAGATTAAGAACACATCTTTAGTCCTTCTCAAGTACTTAAGAATGTTCTTAACCACTATCCAGTGTTTCTTACCAGAGTTTGCTTGAAACCAGCTTGTAACATTTAGAGCATATGAAACATCTGGTCTTGTACATAGCATCGCATACATGATAGATCCTATCGCCGAAGCATAAGAAATCTTATCCATGTGACTCCTTTCATCATGTGTTTTAGGACACATATCTTTTGAGAGGTAAATCCCATGCAACATGGGACATAATCCTCTTTTAGACTCTTCCATATTAAATCTTCTCAAGATTTTATCTATGTACGAAGATTGGGATAAGCCTAGTAATCTTTTAGATCTATCTCTATAGATCTTGATTCCCAAAATATATGCTGCTTCTCCCATATCTTTCATGGAGAAATTCTTTGACAACAATAATTTTACCGATTGAAGCATTGGGATGTCATTTCCCATTAATAATATGTCATCGACATATAATATCAGGAATATGACCGCGCTCCCACTTGTTTTCTTATAAACACACGGTTCATCTTCATTTTTGATAAAATCAAACCTTTTGATTGTTTCATCAAAACGAAGATTCCAGCTCCTAGAGGCTTGCTTTAATCCATAAATGGATCGATTTAGCTTACATACTTTGTTGGCTCCTTTGGATTCAAAACCTTCAGGCTGTGTCATGTACACCTCCTCTTGTAAGTTTCCATTAAGGAAAGCAGTTTTTGACATCCGTTTGCCATATCTTAAAATCATGGTATGCAGCTATTTTACGCAAAATCCGAATGGACTTTAGCATGGCTACAGGCGAAAAAGTTTCATCAAAGTCAATACCTTGTCTTTGTGTGTAACCCTTCGCTA